GGAAAATACCCAAGAAGGGGCTATTGACTACCTCTGAGCAGTCCTCGCCTGAGGGGATGTTGGAGATCTGAAAACCCCACAGGAGCTTGGGGTGACATGTGGGCTGTAGTCAGTGTACACACCAGTGAGGCTGTAACCTGCCTCCATAGACACAGGGTCTGGAACAAGAGAAGGATGGACCCATCTTTCTCTCCCCGGTCTAGTCACAGCTCAGTCTCTGAACTCATCTCAAAGGCTCGCCTCCAGGAGTCATGTGGACAAACAGGAGCTCATATGCAGGAGAGTAACAAGGATGGTCAGAAAACCAAACCCCTGCTTGTTATTTGGGGCGATGACTGAAGGAGATGGGAATTATCAGCCCAAAGAACAAGTGACCCAGTGGGGGATATGACAGTTATTGTCAAATATCTGATGGACTGCTATGTAGAAGGGGAGTCTTTGGGTGATGCTCTTGGCCGCTAACCAAAAGGTTGGGGGTTCAAGTCCACTGAGAGATATCTCAGAAGACAGGCTTGGCAATCTGAAAACTCAGCCACCAAAAACCTTATGGAGCACAGTTCTGCTCTGACACACATGGGGTCACCATGGGTCAGGGTCAACTCAAGGGCACTATGGTTTTTGGCCATAGGGAGGAGAGGTCAAACAAATTTGGTACGGCCCCAATGGTGGTAGCTTCCAGGAGGCAGATTCTGAAGTGGGCCAGTACATACAGTGCTAGCAGCCATAGTCCAAAGACAGAGTGATCCCTCTCAGTAGACAGTCTCCTCACTGGAGGTATTTAAGCACATGCTGACCACCAGGTGCTGGGATGTTGTGCTAGGGATTCTAGTGTACTTTCAGGTGCTGGTTTTTTCATTCAATTAAACAGTTACTTAGTAACTACTACAAGTCAGGCTCTACCACTGTCAGTTTTTCATACTGCGATGGCTTGCATGCTACTATGATATTGGAAACTATGCCACTGGTATTTCAATACGAGCACGGTTACCCATAGGGGACAGGTTTCAGTGAAGCCTCCAGACTAAGACAAACTAGGAAGAAAGGCCTGGCAATTTACTTCAGAAACTTAGCCAGTGAAAACCCTATGGAGCACAACCACATTATCTGATGTAGTAGTGGAACCAAAAACAAACCTCACTGCCATTGAGTCAGCTCATTGCAACCCCCTTTGGGTTTCTGAGGCAGAAATCTTTACGGAAGTAGATTGCCCAGTCTTCCTTCTGCAGAGTGGCTGGTGGATTTGAACACCCAGCCTTCTGGTTAGCAGTCAAATACCTTAGGCGCTGTGCCACCAGAGCTCCTTGTAGTAGTGGAAGGTGAGCTCTTAATGGTTGAAGTGCACCCTTTAAGATCCTTTTCAATGTTGATTCTCTGATGCTCTGAGTCTGAAGAGCTCCAGGTTGCTCAAGGGAGACGCAAGGCACAAAGATCCAGGACGAGTTTCATGAAGGCACACAGCGTTGGAGCAGTGGACATTTCACTCTTCCTGTCTACTCTCCCTTCTTTTTCAATCACCTGTTCCTTTCAGGAAAACAGACAAACAAGCCAGTGATGCTCTACCAGGCCATCTTGCCTTGGTGCGTGTGTTTGGACTGGGTGTGCAATAACACAGTTTTGTTCTGCAAGATGTGCTGTCCTGACTGTGGACAAATTACCATCTTTTACCTGAAGTCTCCACATCTCCCCAGACACCCTTCAGCAGAGCTGGTGATGTGCGAGGGCTGTGGTTCAGATGCCACACAACACATGGCATCCAACCAGGGAGAGCTTGCAAATTCTTCACCAGATGCGGTCACCCCGCCCATTCCATGCACCAAGAGTCCAGAAATTACTGTGGAAACCACATGTCCCCAACCAAGCCCACTTCTTTCTAAGCATTTCTCCATTTTTCTCTTTTGCCCATGCACACACATACATGCTTATATACTCTCTCTCTCTCTCTCTCTCTCTCTCTCTCTCTCTCACTGCTTCTCTGCAGATCTTCTGTCTATGGACCTTTCCTGACACTCTCTCTTGCTTGGTGGACCATCCAAGGGGTTAGGAGTATCTGGGCAGGCAGTGAAGGCAATTTCGTTTTGCAGCTGGGCGTTCCACAAGCTGTCCAGCTACGGCCACTTCTTTGTAATGTGTCAGGCTCGCAAGATGTTGAGAGAGCAAATTGGCAGCCGAGTAGGCCTGTCTGACTCTGCTGAAGGCATCTGTTGGAAAACCCGCTTTGTAATTTCCAAAGCATTTAGGGTCAGAAGTGGGTAGAAACTCCCAAATGGAAGAAAATCCTAATAGCTTCCAAGTGTGAGGAAAATAAGAAACAGATGGGCTGTCCTTGGAGCCGCTGTGGCTTCTGAGATGCAGGCTCCCAGGGTACATGGTTTTCTTAGGGGGCAAGCACTGATCTTCTCCTGAGAGGTTTGTTTGGCCCGGACTGGACCTTACGTGTCTCTGGGTGGTGCAGATGGTTGACACACTTGCCTGCCAACTGAAGGGTGGCAGTCTGAGTCCACCTAGAGGTGCCTCAAAAGAAAGGCCTGGTGATCTACTTCTGAAAAATCAGCCACCGAAAACCCTACGGAGCCCAGTTGTCCTGTGACACACATGAGGTCGTCATGAGTCAGAAGTCACTTAACACATTCTCTGTGTTAGTGTCTTCAATCATCTTTGTTGGTCTTTACCACAGATGTATTTTCAGCACCTAGAAAAGTACCTGTCACATAGTAGATATTCAACAAATATTTTGTTGAATGAAAGAATCCATTTTTGTATCCTATGCACTTCCTAAGTAGAGTCCCCGGATGGTGTGAATAGTTAAGCGCTGGACTGCTAACCAAAAGGTGGGCAGTTCAAACCCACTCAAAGGTGCCTCAGAGGTAAGGCCTGGCCATCTGCTTCCTAAAGGCCATAGTCTTGAAAAGCCTATGCAGCAGTTCTACTCTGCATACATGGGTGGTCATAAGTCAGAATCAGCTTGACAGCAACTAACAACAGTAACAGCAATGTGCTTCCCAAAGTCCTCGTCACTTAGTTGACGATACATGGTTGCTGCATGAAACCAAGAAACAAAGGCAAAGGAGGCTTTGGTCTCTAAATTGAACTGGAGGGAATATAAACTGGGGAGGTTGGAAGAGTGGAGGAGAACCAATATGGTGGTTGGCAGTGCGGAGGTGTCTGTGAAGGGGCTGGGCTTCTGTGCAGATCCCCAGGAAGTGTCCTAGCTGGGGACAGAAGTAGACCTAGTTTCTCCCAATGGCTTTGAGTCTCCATCTCATTCTGCGATTTTGCACTTTCTTCCCTGCAGGACAAGGCCTCTTGCCTAAGATAAACAGCTCCCCTCTTTCTTCTCCTTTCCCTACCCTTCAATACTCCTTTAATGACAAGTTTCAGTCCCGGAGCATAAGCTCAGGCTTGGCAACAGACCCATTTTCCAAGCTCGCTCTTATCTGGCTCACATCTTCACAGCTTTCATTGGCCTGAATGTGACTAAAATCAAGGAGACTTTCAGGGAATCAAAACCGAGATTTTCAAAAAGTGAACAGTGTTGGCAGAGCTAGAATCCCTTTCTGGTTCTGTGGGAACAACAGGGCTGTAGGTAATGTGAAGATTTTATGTATCCCCTTCTGGCAACTGTGATGTATTTAGCACTTGGAGTCAGAGAGCTGCATGTTAATGATCAGGAAGGTTTGCATCTTTCAGTTGGTAAATGAGGCTTAAAGATAACTTTCCACCTTGAAAAATACCTCCTGGCTTACCCGCTTCCCTTCAATTAAGTAGGCACACTTAGCAGCACCATCGTATAGACCTACTTGCAAAAGTTTGATTTCCTTGGCTACAGAAAGAAAGAGAAACACAGAGGCGAATTTCTTCCATGCCTTCCCAGCTCTGTTAGCTCAGACAGTAGGAATTCCTTCCTCTATCTAACTGGAGTTGGTAAACGAGAGTTTTGAGAACTGCAGGCAAGGATAAGCAATTCCTAGGGGTAACAGATAAACTGAGGCATGGAAGAAGGGGTGAAGAGAGGGGGGAAGGAATTTACAAGAGGAGAAAGGAGAGATCTTGACAACTTCACAACCCAGTCCGGTTGTTCCTCTGTGTATCAACTCCATGGCTGCCATCACCTGCTTTGAAGGCATCTACTGTTGGCAATGGAATCCCTGGGTGGTGCAGATGGTTACGTGCTTGGCTACTAACTGGAAGGTTGGCAGTTCAAATCCACCCAAAGGCACCTTGGGAGAAAGTCTTGGCCATCTACCTCCAAAAGACCACAGCCATTGAAAACCCCATGGAGTATAGTACTACTGTGACAGACAAGAGCTGGAACTAATTTCAAAGCAAATGGCTCCTTTCATTTTATTTTTTAAACTTTGGGACTGAGGGAAGTGTTCTTCATACCTGAGATATCTCACTGGTTAGTGGCTGTTCTGGCCTTACTGACATGTGCCTGAGACCCTGGTGTGTGGTTAGCTGGGGCCGGAGGCTGAGCCCAATGTGGAAGAGCCCAACTCTGCAGAACCAAAGGTAATGAATGGGGCAAGGGCTGTAGACCTTTGGTCAGAACCAGGCGATCCTTCAGCACTGGTACTCTACTTTTTCTTCCGATAATCAAATCTATTCATTGAGGAGATGAAGCTGACTCTCTGGGACACAATATGTAGCCAGGGAGCTCATCAGCACGTATGGCTTTTGGTTTCATTAGAAGCAGTTCTCTTTGACCCAACCCCAGATGATACCTAAATATTAAAGTTAGGGTTTTGACCAGAAGTTCCCTCATGAATAGTGGTACCCTGCCGACCTGCTGCTACAGCCTTAATGTTTTTGCATAGTCCTCTTGTCCTACGATATTACCTCTGCTCCTGACTCAGGCTCCAGATGCCCAAGTCCCCATTTCATGAGACACTGCAAATGCTTTGGGCCTGGATCTGTGCCCTGGGCGGCCTTACCCTTTGAGGCTTTCCATGGCTCTGCAGCCATGTCCTCTGCTGTTTCCTCGCTCTTGTCCTCTGGGTCCTGGGCACCTTCCTCCTTCTGCAGCCCCTGCCCTAGAGGCACATGCTGGTCCTCAGGCACATCCTCTTGTTTCTTGCTCTCCTTCCTTTCATAGGGAGCTCTACATAAATATAAAAAAAAGTCCACCATCAGGTGTGATGTTTGAAGTGAGTCAACAAGGAGTGGTCCAGCATGAGGTCGTAAGAGGAAGGGGCTGAACTAGAACCCTTAACCTAATGGAAAATGCTGGATGAAGACAAATGGATGCTGTCAGCTTCTTCTTGGGTATGGTAGTGATGAGAGAAGGGTGGAAATGCTCTGAGCAGTAGGACAACTACAGAATAAGTGTTCCACCCAAAAGCTTCTGGTGGTGGCACCTGAGGAATTCAGAAATACAGACAGTCCCTGGATTACCCACGAGGCCCATTCCTAAATTGGTATTGAAGCTGAATTTGTATGTACATTGGAACAGTTTGATATGGGCTGTATCTAACATCAGTGGGTCAAATGTTTGTCTCAGTATGTAGTATATAGTGCACCTTTGCATGCAGATAAAACATTAAAGAAACACTTCCCGATACACTAAAGCACCTTTAACACAGCAATACAGTAATCATAATATCTTGATGCACACTGCAAAGTAGTGGCTGTTTGTTATTATGAACTATTGTATGTACCTTGAAGTTTTAATATAATAGGCTTTATGGGGCCTGGCTTGTAACTAAGGGTTGTAAGTCAATCAGACGTTCATAACCAGGGACTGCTAGTATATATATTTTTTGTAAATTTATTTTTTATAGAACTAAATATATATGTATAAATAGAAGCAAAACAGATCTTATAAATGGTTGTCCTTAAGGCAGAGCCTGAAGGAAACATCTCAGAGCCAGTATTTCATTGTTTTTTTTGTTCCATCAAACTGTGTGTGCCCCAACCCCACCATTTCATATTTTATCAGTTATTAATTTATTTACTCACTTATTTATTTTTAGCGATGTTAAGCTCAGTTCTTCAGTGACTCTCAGACACCCAAGTTATCTCATGGCAGCCTCCTGCCATGACAAAACCCACAGGGCTTTTCCTGAGCTGACCCCTGCTCTTCTTCCTTGTCCTCCCCTCCGCTCCTCCTGCTAGCACTATTTCATGAGCCCTGGAAATGCTGTGAATGCTCAGGCCTCTGCAACTTGCCTCATGTTTCTCCATGTGTCTGGAACACTTTCCTTTCCTCCCCTGCACTCCATCCTCCTAGAGAACGCCTACTCGCCACTTCCTGTAGGGTGCTGTCTGAGACACCACCGCACTCCCATTCCCAGGCGTAGGCCTACTGGCTCTCTGGTTTCAGGCACCTTGTGAATATCTCCATTTTAGTAATGACTAATTGTGCTATGGAGCTCTAGTGGGGCAGACAGTTAAACTCTGGGCTAATCTAAACAAACCCACCCAGAGGGTCCATGAGAGAAAGACCTGGTGATCTGTTCCCATAAAGGTGACAGCCGAGAAAAACCTATTGAGCAATTGTACTCTGTCACATGGGGTTACTATAAGTTGGAGTTGACTTGATGGCACTCAAGAACAATTGTGTTATACTGATCCATTTTCATGCCTGTTGCCCTCTACTAGACTATCTGTTGACCATGGGGTCATGAATTATGTCTACCTTGTCCACCCATGTAACTCTAACATCTGGCAAGAGGTAGATGTTCAATGCATATTTCTTGGATGGATGACAAATTATTAGGTTACGGTAGAGGGGAAAAAGGACAGTAGATTCAACATACTACCTACTTGAGGGCTGGGGGACATTTTTAATAAACCCAAGATCCAGTGGAGACCTGGGTCTGTTAGGAGAAGAAAGTCAAGGGGGAGCTTTTTTACCTGTGAAAGCTGCATCTGGGAGTGGTCCAGAGTGTTTGGCCACAGGAAGGGCTCAGAAAGCAGGACATGACTTTGCTTTGTAGTTAGCCCATCCCTAGAAATACTGAGTGGTAACGTCTCTGGTAGGTTTAATTTCTTTCCCTGAAAGCCTGTAAAAATGACATGGGGGAGGCATCTGATCTCCTCTAACTTCACGAGGTGGGAGTAAGATTAAGATCAACATCAATCAGCCCAAGGCTGATTCCTATGAGTTGGAGGTCAGACATGCCTCTTCCCTCCAAACTTTGCCAATTCTCACACCAACCACACCAACGTCCCTCCCAAGGCACTCTCTGCTTCTCTGCTGTGTTCAATAATTTGTCGCAATGGCCACATAGAAGTCACAGACAATACGCATAATTATGGGGTTTATTTGGAAAGTAACATGTTACAATTCAGGATCAGAAACAACCCCGGGTACAGTTCTTCAATCAGAATAGCCTCTTCTTAGCAGCATGTCTGTAAGCATCTCAGGCCCATGGCCCATTGGCCTTCGCCCTGTGCAGGCAAGTGTTACAGAGTTCGATTAACTCTGCTGATAAATGCCTGGTGCCACCCCACTCCTCCAGTAAGCCTCAGCTCAAAGGCACAGCTTTCTCATCTGGGGGTCAGTGAGCCTCACTCCGAGAATAAATGCCTAGAGGCACCCCCTCTACCAGCAAGCCTCCTGCCCAGAGACACAGCTTTCTTGCTCCTTAGGCCGGGAAGCACACCACTGTGTCTTGTGCCAGTTTCCTGATTCTGTTGCTCTGCTGCCACATTTTCTCTGCTGCTGCTCCTTGCTGTCTCTTACCGTCTCTGGTATCACAGTTCTCTATCTCCTGACTGAGGAGGTTCAGCACAGGGATCTTGGGCCCAGAGGAAGTGCTCCACTCCTGGCTCTTCTTTCTTGATGGTAGTGAGAGCCTCAATTTCTACCTTTAGGATACCTCATTTTAAACCCAGCAGGATGGCAAAACTGACCAATCCCCACAAGGGTGCCATGTATGTTATCTACATTACTAGTAAGCTATCCAATCTCCTGGGTGGGCCACAAACACCTCATTTGCATAGTCCCACCCTCATTTGCATAGCCCCATTGGAAGGAAGATGGGGCAATCTACTTCCGTAATGATACTGCCTTGGAAACCCAAGGAGGGGTCGCTATAAGTCGGGTCCAACTCAATGGCACATAACCACAACCACAACAACCCCGTTACATGGCAGAAGTTTCAAAGACTGTGGCTAGAAGGGCCATGTTAAATAATTCACTGCACCGTAAAGCCAAAGAAATTTATTCTGAAAACCAGCATCCTGAAGGCAACGATTAGAGTAGTTGAGGGCTGAGAAATAACAGAATCCCTACCAACAGCCATATGCTAACATCTGTCATGGAACCAGACTCCCTAATCCTGGCTAGAAGCCCAATATCTTCATGCCATTCAAATTTTAAAAAGTGTATCACTTTTCTTTTATGAGTTTAAACTTGATGCCATCTGCAGCTGTGGTTTCTGGAGCCTCTACCCACTTCCATGGGTTGAATGAAAGACCAAGCTGAAGCCGTTTGGGTGCTGCACAGTTGTGAGTAGCTGGGCAGTTCTGAGAAACACAAAATTCTCAAGCTTAGGAGCACATCTGCTCCATATCTGGTCACTAGATTCTCTCAGCTTTTCCAACAATGTGTGACATTTGAACTGACAGCCCTGAAGCATCTTTCAGCACATTAAGGAGATCTCCACTAGGCAAGTGTGTTTTACATTTCTCTGGTGCCCAATTCTGGGACTTTAAAGAGCTTTGCTCACTTTGGGGTTCTTGTTTATAAAGCGTTCCCATCTACCAGGCCAAGGCAGATATGCAAATGAGCACGGACCCACAGGATTCAATTAAACCATGGCTTGTCAAGATAAATGGTGCCAATAAGTGTCTGCTGGGGAGCTGGGGATGCCCAGGAAGAGAGAAAATTCTGGCACGTAAAAATTATATTCATAAAATGTCAAAGAGAAGAAAATACATGCTAAAGGGCTGCAAGTCAAGAAACCCTTGGGGAACCAACTAGATTTCCAGCTGTTTCAAATTAAACGTGTTTATTATCTTTGCATCTTTTTCCTCGCTCAGCATCAGCAGTTAGAAAATGTGTTCTGTCATCTTAACTCAAAGCATATTTTTATAAGTTTATCTGGCCGTTTGCTTTCACACAGAGTGATAGTGATTCTTTCCCTTTGACTGTGATGTGCACTTTTGGGAGCTGTAGGGTGGTCTCTGTGGGCTCTATTCATTCAACACTTCCCTTTTGTTCCCTTTTATGTTGTAAGGAGCCTGGGTGGTGCTAATGGTTTGCCATCAATTACTAACCTGAAGGCACTTGGAAGAATGGCCTGGAGACCTGCTTCTGTAAAGATTTCAGCCAAGAAAACCCTACGGAGAAGTCTTCTCTGTAACACATTGGGTCACCATGAGTCAGAATCGACTCAATGGCAATGTGTTTAATGGATTCCTACGTCCTAAAATCTTTGCTAGGTGCTGGAGGTACAGTGGCAACCAGACAGTAGTAAATAAGTGTGTAAGTACAGTGAGGAGCCCTAGTGGTGCAATGGTTATGCGCTCCACTGCTAAATGGAAGGTCAGAAATTCAAACCCTGAAGTTAGGTGGGAGAAAGACCTGGTGACTGCTTCTGTAAAGGTAACTGCCAACAGAACCCTATGGGCAGTCTTGCTATGTCACCTGCGGTTGCTGTAAGTCTGTATCAACTCCACATAACCTAACAGCAACAACAATAACAAAATAATAGTGGTTTGTGAAGGAGCTCTGGTAGTGTAGTGCCTAAGGCACTTGACTGCTCACCAGAAGGCTAGTGGTTCAAACCTACCAGCCACTCCTTGGAAGGAAGGCTGGGCAATCTACTTCCATAGTGATACTGCCTCGGAAACCCACGGAGGGGTCGCTATGAGTCAGGTCTGACTTGATGGCACATAACAACAACAGTGGTTTGTAAAGGGTGCCAGAGAGAAAATGAACATAGGGGACATAGAAAGAGTAATTGTCAAGGACAAACTTTAGATCCAGTGGTCAGAGAGGCCTCTTGGGACAAAAGAATTTGGAGCTGAGACTTGAAGACAAGAATACGCCATCGAATAGGAACTAGGAGATGACTGTTCCAGGCAGATGGAACAGCCACTGCAAAGGCTTTGAGACAGTGCCTCTGGTGGCGTAAATGGTTAACGCACTCA